GAGGTGTCAAAGGTACAGTGTGATGGAATGCAGTCAGTGCCCCAACTCAGCATGCATGCTATATATGAAATATATTCACATGTTCTGTTGGCATGGCACATGATGACGATAATGGTAGACGTTCAGTAATCAGTCAGGCGTTGATAATTTCTCTCAGATATTTATTTATTCAACAAGTAACTCAAATGTGAAAAAATATAAGAAAACTGGAGCAGCTATCCAGATTTTATAAAAGTCTGCCTTCAAGCGACCCTCCAACCCAGAATGTTCAACAACTGTATGCCTGCAGCCATGCAGATATGTCTTTGCTTGAGAAATGTCATGTCTACATACACCATGCTGATGTGTCATAGCTTGAGACATGTCATATCTACATACATAGTCTTAGCTAAACAGCACAGAACTATCTAGTCTAAGCTGTCAAAGTTGAACCATCTAGTCTGGACTATACAGTGTGAACTCTAATGTCTGTACTGGTGTAAATGGTATGTCTTTAGTGGTGTAAATGTCGGTACTAGTGGAAATAGTGCAATGTCTGTAACTGCTGTAAATGGCATCATGTCTGTACTAGTGTGAACTGTGTAACATCTGTGCTGGTGTGAATGATGTAATACCTGCACTCATGTTAATGATATAACATCTGTACTGGTGTAATGTCTGTACTGGTGTAATGTCTGTACTGGTGTAATGTCTTTACTGGTGTTATTTATGCTGATCTTTTAGAAATATCCAGTTTCAGATTGATAGTGTGGTCAGCTAATCAGCACTGTTCAATCTGGGCTGATCGATTCATGCTGTCCACAATACTTACTACACCTGGATCTTAGGCCTATAGCTACAATCTTGTGTAAATATTTATAGATATAGACATGAATGTCAGTTCTCCTCTTCTAGACATCAGTGTACACAACAATTCTTCTAGACTTCAGTGTACACAACAATTCTTCTAGACATCAGTGTACACAACAATTCTTCTAGACTTCAGTGTACACAACAATTCTTCTAGACATCAGTGTACACAACAATTCTTCTAGACTTCAGTGTACACAACAATTCTTCTAGACATCAGTGTACACAACAATTCTTCTAGACATCAGTGTACACAACAATTCTTCTAGACTTCAGTATTTAAACTTACAACACTTAAAATATTGTCTTTTTTTAAACTCACAGGCATACAATCATATAATCTCATGTGTGGCTCACAACAACACTGTAAAATTTCAACATAATCATACAGTTCAGTCTAAGTCTTAAAAGCACTGGAACCGTGCAATGTCTTGGTTGTGCTTACTGACACAGTAGCACCTCAATGTTGTATACAATTTGCTCAGTAGCACCTCAATGTTGTATACAATCACACAGTAGCACCTCAATGTTGTATACAATCACACAGCACCTCATTGTTGTATACAATCACACAGTAGCACCTCAATGTTGTATACAATCACACAGTAGCACCTCAATGTTGTATACAATCACACAGTAGCACCTCAGTGTTGTATACAATCACACAGTAGCACCTCAATGTTGTATACAATCACACAGTAGCACCTTATTGTTGTATACAATCACACAGTAGCACCTCATTGTTGTATACAATCACACAGTAGCACCTCAGTGTTGTATACAATCACACAGTAGCACCTCAGTGTTGTATACAATCACACAGTAGCACCTTATTGTTGTATACAATCACACAGTAGCACCTCATTGTTGTATACAATCACACAGTAGCACCTCATTGTTGTATACAATCACACAGTAGCACCTCAGTGTTGTATACAATCACACAGTAGCACCTCATTGTTGTATACAATCACACAGTAGCACCTCAATGTTGTATACAATCACAGTAGCACCTAATTGTTGTATACAATCACATCACACAGTAGCACCTCAGTGTTGTATACAATTCCACACTAGCACCTCATTGTTGTATACAATCATTTTGTACAATCTCAGTGCAGTCACCAACGGTTATGTATATCATACACTCAACATTTTGCTGGAGACAACTGGAAGCACCAAGATGTAGATACAAGACATGTTACATCTATGAAATCAACGCTTTTTCTGTGTCAGCTACTGATATGAAAGCAACGGTTTGTCTGTGTCAGTTACTGATATGAAAGCAACGGTTTGTCTGTGTCAGCTACTGATATGAAAGCAACAGTCTGTGTCAGCTACTGATATGAAAGCAACGGTTTGTCTGTGTCAGCTACTGATATGAAAGCAACGGTTTGTCTATGTCAGCTACTGATATGAAAGCAATGGTTTGTCTGTGTCAGTTACTGATATGAAAGCAATGGTTTGTCTGTGTCAGTTACTGATATGAAAGCAATGGTTTGTCTGTGTCAGCTACTGATATGAAAGCAACGGTTTGTCTGTGTCAGTTACTGATATAAAAGCAATGGTTTGTCTGTGTCAGCTACTGATATAAAAGCAACGGTTTGTCTGTGTCAGTTACTGATATAAAAGCAATGGTTTGTCTGTGTCAGCTACTGATATGAAAGCAACGGTTTGTCTGTGTCAGCTACTGATATAAAAGCAATGGTTTGTCTGTGTCAGCTACTGATATGAAAGCAACGGTTTGTCTGTGTCAGCTACTGATATAAAAGCAATGGTTTGTCTGTGTCAGCTACTGATATGAAAGCAACGGTTTGTCTGTGTCAGTTACTGATATGAAAGCAACGGTTTGTCTGTGTCAGCTACTGATATGAAAGCAACGGTTTGTCTGTGTCAGTTACTGAAATGAAAGCAATGGTTTGTCTGTGTCAGTTACTGAAATGAAAGCAATGGTTTGTCTGTGTCAGCTACTGATATGAAAGCAATGGTTTGTCTGTGTCAGTTACTGATATGAAAGCAACAATTGTCTGTGTCAGCTACTGATATGAAAGCAATGGTTTGTCTGTGTCAGTTACTGATATGAAAGCAATGGTTTGTCTGTGTCAGTTACTGATATGAAAGCAATGGTTTGTCTGTGTCAGTTACTGATATGAAAGCAATGGTTTGTCTGTGTCAGTTACTGATATGAAAGCAATGGTTTGTCTGTGTCAGTTACTGATATAAAAGCAATGGTTTGTCTGTGTCAGCTACTGATATGAAAGCAACGGTTTGTCTGTGTCAGCTACTGATATGAAAGCAACGGTTTGTCTGTGTCAGCTACTGATATGAAAGCAACGGTTTGTCTGTGTCAGCTACTGATATGAAAGCAACGGTTTGTCTGTGTCAGCTACTGATATGAAAGCAACGGTTTGTCTGTGTCAGTTACTGATATGAAAGCAATGGTTTGTCTGTGTCAGCTATTGATATGAAAGCAACGGTTTGTCTGTGTCAGCTACTGATATGAAAGCAACGGTTTGTCTGTGTCAGCTACTGATATGAAAGCAATGGTTTGTCTGTGTCAGTTACTGATATGAAAGCAATGGTTTGTCTGTGTCAGTTACTGATATGAAAGCAATGGTTTGTCTGTGTCAGTTACTGATATGAAAGCAATGGTTTGTCTGTGTCAGTTACTGATATGAAAGCAATGGTTTGTCTGTGTCAGCTACTGATATGAAAGCAACGGTTTGTCTGTGTCAGCTACTGATATGAAAGCAACGGTTTGTCTGTGTCAGTTACTGATATGAAAGCAATGGTTTGTCTGTGTCAGCTACTGATATGAAAGCAACGGTTTGTCTGTGTCAGCTACTGATATGAAAGCAATGGTTTATCTGTCAGCTACTGATATGAAAGCAACAGTTTGTCTGTGTCAGTTACTGATATAAAAGCAACAGTTTGTCTGTGTCAGTTACTGATATAAAAGCAACAGTTTGTCTGTGTCAGTTACTGATATAAAAGCAACAGTTTGTCTGTGTCAGTTACTGAAATGAAAGCAATGGTTTGTCTGTGTCAGTTACTGAAATGAAAGCAATGGTTTGTCTGTGTCAGCTACTGATATAAAAGCAACGGTTTGTCTGTGTCAGCTACTGATATAAAAGCAACAATTGTCTGTGTCAACTACTGATATGAAAGCAACAGTTTGTCTGTGTCAACTACTTATATGAAAGCAATGGTTTGTCTGTGTCAGTTACTGATATGAAAGCAATGGTTTGTCTGTGTCAACTACTGATATGAAAGCAACGGTTTGTCTGTGTCAACTACTGATATGAAAGCAATGGTTTGTCCATGTCAGCTACTGATATGAAAGCAATGGTTTGTCTGTCAGCTACTGATATGAAAGCAATGGTTTGTCTGTGTCAGCTACTGATATGAAAGCAATGGTTTGTCTGTGTCAGTTACTGATATGAAAGCAATGGTTTGTCTGTGTCAACTACTGATATGAAAGCAATGGTTTGTCTGTGTCAGCTACTGATATGAAAGCAACGGTTTGTCCATGTCAGCTACTGATATGAAAGCAACGGTTTGTCCATGTCAGCTACTGATATGAAAGCAATGGTTTGTCCATGTCAGCTACTGATATGAAAGCAACGGTTTGTCTGTGTCAGCTAATGAAATCTGAAAATGGTTTCCTTGTGTCAACTACTTATACGAAAGCAATGACTTGTCTGTGTCTGATACTGATATTAATGTTTTCCATTTGTCTCTCTTTCATCACGGTCAAGTATCAATGGGTTCCAGAATATTGTATTGCTTTGTACGTCAGAATCAGTCAGTGGAACATTTGTGTATGTCAAGTGGTCAAATATTGTTGTTAGAAGCATTTGGCAACTATGGCATGTATTCTTGTACTTATGGCAAAAACTGTGGCAACAATTCAGGGGTCAAATATTTGAAAGTGGTCAGACACAGTTTCAATCAAATTTTGCTCTCTGGGGCGTGCTCCAGGTCAGTGATGTTAATGCTAGCTGACTTAATGTCCTCTTCTCGATGTGAAGCATGGCCTGTGGTACTCAGCTGCCCTATACTACCCATATATCCCGTACTACCCAGTTGAAATCTACCCTTGCGGGCATCTCCTGGCAACCCATTGGTGTGTTCTCTGCGAAGTTTCTGATTCAGTAAATGTCGAGCATAATCATCCTCCTCCTCCTGATGATCATCATGGCAATCATGGTCGTGCTCTTTATCTTTGAGACCGTACATTCCGGAGTCTTTCTTGGGCACGTCTTGACCTGCAAGTCTTTTCAGACTGTCCATTTCTACTGGACTTGTAGAGAAGAACCAGTCGTAGGTCAGGGAGCCAATGACTGCACCAGCCAGTGGACCTGCCCAGTAAACCTGCAAGAACAAAGGACTACATCATCAGTTTCAGGCACAAATGAAAATATGTTACTTTCAGGCACATGTAACCTGTGTGTATTTTAATGTCAGGCACTAGAGATATATGTCTGTGTGTGTCAATGTTATGCACCAGAGAGATATGTTTATCTGTATGTTAATGTTACGCACCAGAGATATGTGTCTGCCTATGTGTTAATGACATACACCAGTGATATGTGTGTGTTGGTCATGCACCAGAGATGAGTGTGTCTATGGTTATATATTACAGTGGTAAACTGTGTTAATGTCAGCTAGTTATATATTACAGTGGTAAACTGTGTTAATGTCAGCTGGTTATATATTACAGTGGTGCACGGTGTTAATGTCAGCTGGTTATATATTACAGTGGTACACGGTGTTAATGTCAGCTAGTTATATATTACAGTGGTGCACGGTGTTAATGTCAGCTGGTTATATATTACAGTGGTAAACTGTGTTAATGTCAGCTAGTTATATATTACAGTGGTGCACGGTGTTAATGTCAGCTAGTTATATATTACAGTGGTGCACGGTGTTAATGTCAGCTGGTTATATATTACAGTGGTAAACTGTGTTAATGTCAGCTAGTTATATATTACAGTGGTGCACGGTGTTAATGTCAGCTGGTTATATATTACAGTGGTGCATGGTGTTAATGTCAGCTAGTTATATATTACAGTGGTGCACTGTGTTAATGTCAGCTGGTTTTATATTACAGTGGTGCACTATGTTAATGTCAGCTAGTTATATATTACAGTGGTAAACTGTGTTAATGTCAGCTGGTTATATATTACAGTGGTGCACTGTGTTAATGTCAGCTGGTTATATATTACAGTGGTAAACTGTGTTAATGTCAGCTGGTTATATATTACAGTACATGAACCTAATGATCAGGGCTGTGTTAATGTCAGCTGGTCAGCTTACATAAACCTATATATTACAGTGGTGCACGGTGAACCTAATGTCAGCTGGTTATATATTACAGTGGTAAACTGTGTTAATGTCAGCTGGTTATATATTACAGTGGTAAACTGTGTTAATGTCAGCTGGTTATATATCACAGTGGTGCACTGTGTTAATGTCAGCTGGTTTTATATTACAGTGGTAAACTGTGTTAATGTCAGCTAGTTATATATCACAGTGGTAAACTGTGTTAATGTCAGCTAGTTATATATCACAGTGGTGCACCGTGTTGATGTCAGCTAGTTATATATTAGACTTCCTGAACAAATTGCTTCCATGAACCTAATGATCAGGGCTTACATTATTTTAACAGATAAGGACACATTACTTTTTTTAAAAACTTTAATAGATTAGAAAACATTACTTTTAACTTGAAAGGAAAACAAACATAACTTAAATCTTTAATAAAAAAGACAACAATGCTGACGATGGACACTGATGTTCACAGATGAACTATAGTGACATTTTAATTTTCTTTCCCTTTTCAGTTTCATCTTAGTGTGAAAGTTAAAATTCTTACCCAAAGATGCTCATAATTTCCCAAAATCATCGCTGGTCCAAAAGCTCTTGCAGGATTCATGGAAGCTCCAGAAATGTTGGCCTGTGTTTGAGAGAAAGTAGTCAAATCCACAATACTTCATTTACCCAGACAAGAATTTGAGAGAAAGTCATCACATCCACAATACTTCATTTACCCAGACAAGATTAAAAGTCACATCCACAATACTTCATTTACCCAGACAAGATGAGAGAAAGTCATCACATCCACAATACTTCATTTACCCAGACAAGATTAATCAACCCGTCTCTTTGCAAGCTCACTACATCTTGATATTTGAACTGTAAAGTCTTAGAAATCTAGACTATTTTCATTGAATTCCCCCTTCATTATTGTAATTATTTGATTTCTTTACTTTTATTCCAACAGTGCTTCCCAACCCTTCTTTTCACATTTCCATTCTCATACGATTACTCATCTTGTTTTAATCATTGATCAAGGCTTTATCCAAATGTTGGGCTGTATATGTGCATACATTTTCCTTTTTCTCTTTTTGTTGATCAAGATGTTATTCAAAAGTTGGGTTTTATATGTGCACATATTCATGTTTTTTTTTCATTCAGCTTCCTAGTCACAGTTTGTGTATAGCAAGTAACATCCACAATGGACTAGTGCCAACACTGAAAAATGACTGGTGCCCAACATTAACAAATGACTGGTGCCAACATTAACAAATGACTGGTGCCAACATTAACAAATGACTGGTGCCAACATTGACAAATGACTGGTGCCAGCATTAACAAATGACTGGTGCCAACATTGACAAATGACTGGTGCCAACATTGACAAATGACTAGTGCCAACATTAACAAATGACTAGTGCCAACATTGACAAATGGCTGGTGCCAACATTAACAAATGACTGGTGCCAACACTGAAAAATGACTGGTGCCGACATTAACAAATGACTGGTGCCGACATTAACAAATGACTGGTGCCAACATTGACAAATGACTGGTGCCAACATTGACAAATGTCTGGTGCCAACATTAAAAAATGACTGGTGCCAACATTAACAAATGACTGGTGCCAACATTGACAAATGACTGGTGCCAACATTGACAAATGACTGGTGCCAACACTGACAAATGACTGGTGCCAACATTAACAAATGACTGGTGCCAACACTGAAAAATGACTGGTGCCAACATTAACAAATGACTGGTGCCAACATTAACAAATGACTGGTGCCAACATTAACAAATGACTGGTGCCAACACTGATTTTAACACTGACAAGTATATTGTGTAAACAATTTAACATTGACAGAACTGGTGCCAACACAAAACTGTTTACAAACAAATGACATTCACAAACAAAAACTGGTGCCACACTGACAAAATATGGTGCCAGGAACACAAAACTGGTGCCAACTGCAAAGACAAACATAACAAATGATTCAAACACTGGTGCCAACATTAACAAATTACTGGCGCCAACATTAAAAACACTCCAACATTAAAAATGACTGGTGCAAACATTAACACAAACTGGTGCAAACATTAACATGGGTCAAACCAAAACCATCACTGGGGACAGAACCTAACAAATGACTCATCACGACCTGGGTCAACCTGGTGCCAACATTTAGTAGACAAATGACTGGTGCCAACATTAACAAATCTGGTCCGCACTGAAAAATGATGTGCCACATCAAATACTGATTCATTCATATCATGTTACAAGATAACAAATGATTCATGTCAACATCAAATGATTAACAAATTTATGTTACATCAAATGATTGCAAAATTTATCTCACATAACAAATGACTTCATTCATGACAGTAAATGTGTGAACAATTTCACAGAATGCCATATCACAAAGAAACATTCACAGTCATGTCCACAGACAAAATATTCAGGAACAAAATTACTGCAGACAATGATTAATCATCCACCACAAATCACCGCAATTACATTCATGTCAAACCAACCATCAGGGGGACAGAATGCCAAGTTCACGATGGGTCATATAGTAGACAAGATTTATTCACATCTGAGAATGTCACATCATAGATTCATTCACATCATGTTACAGATTCATTCCTGTGACATAACTGATTCATTCATGTGACATCACTGATTCATTCATGTGACATCATTTGTGTAATATCACAGATTCATTCATGGAATGTCATAGATTCAATCAGGTAATATCACAGATTCGTTCAGGTAATATCACAGATTCATTCATGTAATATCAGATTCATTCATGGAATGTCACAGATTCAGTCGAGTCATTTCACTGATTCATAATTCATGGGAAATAACTGATTAGTTCATCACAAAATATAACTTGTATATAACAACCTATCACACCAAATTAACATCCACCAAAATCAACTAAAATATACAGAAAACAATTGTTGCCAGCAGGGTCAAGTTTACACTATCAGGGTTAGGTTTACACTCACCATGGCCAGTCAGCTGGTCTTTATTTATCAAAGAGAGAATGACAAATAAAGAAAACAGTAATTAGGAACACACCAAGGAGTGAATAACAATCAGAAAGAAAAAGGTAAGAAGGCACCTAGGAGAGAATGACAAACAGAAAGAAAAGGGTAAAGAGCTACTCGCTGAGGATAAATTGACAAACAAACAAAAAATGGTAAGGAATACTTACCAAAGAGAGAATGAGAAACAAAGAAAAATGTAAGAAGGCACCAAGGAGAGAAGGGCAAAGAGGAAGAAAAAGATAAGGAGGCATCAAAGAGAGAATGAAAAACAAAGTAAAGTGTAAGGAGCTACTTACCAAGGACAGAATGACAAACAGAAAGAAAAAGGTAATGAGTATTTCCACGCCCAGAGCCTCGTACTGAGTGATGCCTTGCCCAGGGGCAGTCAATCCCAGGTTGCCCACGTAGACTGTTGGCAGGATGACCTTAAGGAGGCCGGCCCCAGCTACGGCACCAGTTGTCTGGAACACCGTGTACACCACAAACCTACAGGAAACAATCAAATATGTCAGCATGCAGGTAACAATCAAATATGTCAGCATACAGGGAACAATCAAATATGTAAGCATGCAGGTAGCAATCAAATATGTCAGCATACAGGGAACAATCAAATATGTCAGCATACAGAAGAGTACTGGAGTATTTTGAGAAATGTCATGTCAAAGGGAAAACCCCAGCTGCACCTCTACGCAGGCAGCAGACACCTCTACACACTGGCATGGCTAATGCAGCTATGGGGACCGAGTATCCACCGGGATAAATGGACACCTGTGGGTGAACTCTGCTGTCAGCATGAGTATCACAGAGCAGGTGACTCAATTTCCCTGACTATCTAAAGGGTTCGTGAAGACTGAGGACAGAGTCCAAAGTCATATATGGAAAGCAAGGGGAAACTACCGCATCATCCCAAGAAATTTGTCATGGCAGCCAAAATCGAAACTCAAAGATTTGTTGGTTATGCCTTTAGGCAAACATTTAAAGTTAGAACTGTAGAATGTGAGGGAAAAAAAATATACTAGGAATTTTTAGCCCAAAATATGTTCCCAAAAAAAATGACAAATAAGATTTACATCACAGAAGAAACATTTAAGCTAATAGAAGAAGAAAATTTCATCAAGTAAAAGTCATTCCCGTGTGGGATGCAATTTTTTTTTATTCGAAGCCCCACCCTGGCTTTTACCGGGGCCCCTTACTATAGCCGGGCCCATAACGGCTGAAAGGGGATTCTGGGACCTCTCCACGGGTGATCCTCATCCGTGTGGTGGCCCTTTGTATTGCTAGTGTGATGTCCTGGTGGGGTACAACGAAAGGACAGAACAATGTTTAAAGAATTAAGTACATTAAAAGGCGACTTCAGGCCTTCATTTCATCTAAGAAATTACAAAAATTGTAACATTAACAAAAAACAAGAGTATATTACAATCATCATCATGTGCCCTGCCAACTGGCGTAGGCGCTCATGCGTCTCCACCGATCACGATCCCTGGTTGCCTGAAACAGCTCTCTTGATGATATCCCTCCATGCCATCGTTTCAGCCCACCCAGCATCATATCTCTTGGTCTGCCTCTACCCCCTTTTCCACTGGTCTTTCCAGTTGCCACGGTGTTCTTCAATGTATATTAGAATACTGTGAAGAAATCTATTAGAATCCAGCTAGTAATTGAGAAACAACTTATGAAAGTGAGGAAAAAGAACCAGAGCTTTTATTGAAGGGGACACAATCAGCATAACAATACAGTCCGAAGAAAGTGAAGTCATCAAGTTGTTACAAAATACCGGTAGAACTTATTCAGGTAGGAAAAAAAACTACCTGCATTATGCACGCATTTTTTGGAACAGCGTCATTTGGGCCTAAAATGTAGAAAAGAACAATCTATATCCCTCTCCCAGAGAAAGGAAATGTGAAACTGAGCACTTTTTCAGCACAATCTACAGTGGGGTTATTCAGACTATCACGTATACAAGTACAGTGAAGCTATTCACATTATTATTTTGTTTTTATAACTCACTATCCCCTTGTGGGATACAATTGTTTTTTGAAGCCCCGCCTCGGCTTTTGCCGGGGGTCCTAACTATAACCGGGCCATAACTATGGCCTAACGGCTGAACGGGGTTTCTAGCACCTCTCCATGGGTTATCCTCATCTGCATGGTGGCACTTTGTGTCACTGAGTGTTTATCACTATGTGTGATGTCCTGGTTGGGTAAAATTTACTTACTTACTCAAACTATCATGTATGTAACTAGAGTGTGGGTATTCACACTATCATGTGTGTAAGCTAGAGTGAGGGTATTCACACTATCATGTATGTAAGCTACAGTGAGGGTATTCACACTATCATGTATGTAAGCTAGAGTGTGGGTATTCACACTATCATGTATGTAAGCTACAGTGTGGGTATTCACACTATCATGTATGTAAGCTAGAGTGTGGGTATTCACACTGTCATGTGTGTAAGCTAGAGTTAGGGTATTCACACTATCAAATATAAGCTAGTGAGGGTATTCACACGATCATTATATCAGCTACAATGAGGGTATTCATACCATTATAATGTAAGATGGGAAATTGGATAAAGCAAACCAAGTATTGGGACAGCTAGCCCCCCTCTTACAGCATAAGACAATCCCAATCAGCACAAAGAGACATCTTATTGAAAGCATATTTATTCCAACTCTGTTGCTACCAGTGCCAGACATGGTCACTCACAACAAACCATAAAAGAAAATTAGTAACCACGGAAATGAGATGTCTGAGAAGGGCTGTAGGAGTGACCATAAGAGATAAGTTCAGGAATGAGATCATAAGAGAACAAGTCGGCACAGAACCAATTCTGGATTACATACAAAGACAGCAAGTGAAATGGTTTGCCCACTTAGAGAGAATGCCTTGTGACACCATACCATACAAAGCATACATGGAAAGAGAAGAAGGACGTAGAGCACGGGGTAGACCAAGAACAATATGGAAGGATAACATCAGAGAAACTCTACAACAGCACGATGTGCCTATGGTCGAGGCAGCCAGAAGAGCTAGAAACAGAACCTTATATCTCCCTCGACACCCACAGCGGTAAAAGAGGAAGTGAAGAAGAAGAAGAAAATGTAAGCTAGTGTGAGGGTTTTCATACTATCATAATGTAACTATAGTGAGTGTATTGAGACTCACAATGTTAGACAGAGTTAGGGTATTCACACTATTTTGTATATAAGTTACACAGATTATCATTATGTAAGCTACGGTGTGATCATCCACACTATCATTATGCAGGCTACAGTGAGGGTATTCACACCATCATTATGCAGGCTACAGTGAGGGTATTCACACTATCTTTATGTAAACTACAGAGTTATAGATATTTTGATGGAATGAAACTTTGCAGCGTCAATAGTGACATGGCCAAATCTTTTTTAACACACAGAGATTTATGCTAACCTGTGTACATCTATCTACCTGTCTGTTGGAATGACGGGGAATATTTACTGCTTCTTTGCCAGAGAACTTACCTGGTGAAAGTAATCTGTCGAGTAACAAGGAAGGCAATGGACACTGCAGGGTTCAAGTGGGCACCACTGACATTACTCAAGGAGGACACTATTGCAGCAATGAAAAATCCACATCCTAGGGCAGCCTGGAAAGTAACCGTTACAAGATACATGAGGCACATTCAGGTGACATCTGAGCCGTGGTCGTTACAAGATACATGAGGCACATTCAGGTGACATCTGAGCCGTGGTCGTTACAATATACATGAGGCACACACAAGTGACATCTGAGCCTTGGTCATTACAAAATACACAAGGCACACACAAGTGACATCTGAGCCTTGGTCATTACAAAATACACAAGGCACACACAAGTGACATCTGAGCCTTGGTCGTTACAAAATACACAAGGCACACACAAGTGACGTCTGAACTCTGGACATTACAAAATACATGAGGCACACACAAGTGACATCTGAACTCTGGTCATTACAATATGCACGAGGCACACACAAGTGACATCTGAACTCTGGTCATTACAATATGCACGAGGCACACACAAGTGACATCTCAGCCTTGGCCGAAACGTCTGGAGTAAGACAGGGATGTGGCTTGTCACAAGTGCTATTTATGAAATACTGGTGACCTGGTCTATAGCAGCTGCAGTCACTGCTTATATTCTGGCGTCTAACATGATCAACTGTATTATGTCTTGCACCACAGTCAGCCAGCTGTGGCACAGAATTGATCTTGTCCTCATTCTTTAACTCACTGTATCTGTTCAAGGTTCACTGCTGTTTTGTTGTGCAGTTTGTTGTTGACCATTTTTTAAGTTTGTTTAACGGTACTTTTAAATATATACGGAACAATTATTATCCTTCGCGTTCATCGGCTTCAAACTCCGGCGGAAATGTCTGGTTGTTTGTCTACCTCTGGACTTTTAGTCTAGTCCCACAACCTGTGTTGCGTGCACATCCGTCTTGTCTTGTCTCTAGACTGGTGGTTCCTTGACTCCTAGAAAGACTTCGAAGGAAGTCCCCAATTTGTCCTCCAACGACATGTATATTGGGGAGGTAGTGAGTTTGTTCTTTGCCCCCCCCCCCCCCCCCCAACAGGTCCCTAGGACTCACACGTGAAACAATTAAACGGACCAGTGGCCTTCTGCCGACTTTGTATTTCCGTTGCCTTTAGGTTAATTTCTCGGAGTGGCTTAAATTCTGCGTCGTGGCGTCAATTCCGTGGCGTGGCGTGAAATTCTGCGAGCTCTGGATAAAAGTGACGCCCTGGATAAAAGTTACACCTCGGGTAGTAAAGTTCACCTCTAATTCTGAAACAAGATCAAATTCGAGAAGTTGGGAAACCAGAACTTCCGCTGGAGTTGACTAACGGTAAAGGTGAATAAGATATTGTACTTTCGCTAAAACATCATGGAACTAGAAGCTGCTCAAACGTGTGATGCTGTAGAGAAACTTGAAAGCGTTGACGGCATACAGGCAGGCTAGCTTTGGTAAAGAATGCATCCATTTTAAATGCTTCTGTTATCTGTGATTGAACTAAAATAGTGATACTTTATCTCCACCACCACACTATCTCATTCCCGACTCTGCATGATGTTGGCTTCAAAGAAAATACCGACTACTACCCAAGTGGGTACACCGAACCCAAGTTTTCAGCTGATCTCCGCAATAAAATATTCTGCTGAGCTCATTTTTAGATTTAAAACGACATGATAACTATCTAGGGAGAGCACAGAATCAAGAACGTATGATCAATCTCGAAGTGCCCAGTAAAAAATCAAACATCAGTTAGTCTCAAATTCCAGGAAGTTGATAGGTGCATTCTCAAATGTACAAGTGAGAAGTAAATCATGTCCCTATAAGTTCTGTCAAGTTCGATTACAATAATTATTAAACTGAAATGCTTTTACCATACATTTAAACTGACTAAATTCGAAGTTTCTGTGACATATTTTATTTGGACTAGATTAGATTATGTTCTTACCATATATTTGTGTCTTCAAAACAGAGTTGTACATTTTAACTTAGATATTTGTTTTATTTATTACGTAACTCAACTATTAAAGCTTACAGGATACGACATCCTAATTACGGCCCTACTTAAATGTCTCAACTACTGCCGCTTACATGTCTCAACAACTGACGCTTACAAGTCTCAACTACTGATGCTTACATGTCTCAACTACTGACGCTTACAAGTCTCAACTACTGATGCTTACATGTCTCAACTACTGACGCTTACGTGATACGACCAGCCTGTACCCAGGAACACATAAGCTTACCTGTAGCAGTGGGGGACCCGGCTCTCCTTCTTTCTTTAACCCCATCCCGATAGTAAACACTGCCAGCATCCCAGTGCCCAGAAACTCCGCCACAGCTCCTCGCCACAGCTTGACGCTCTTGACGTCCAACAGCTCATGTGTGACTATCTTAGCAAAAGCTGTCTCATCTTCGTGGAGCGAGGTCGTTGACCTGGCCTCCATCCGAAGCCTGGCGGGGATGGATGCGACAGACATGGTGCTGCTTGAATCAGAACCCACCTAGCAGTCTCAACAAGTGTAGAAATGTTGCTCTCCTGAGATTCTCCGCCTAGATGTAGGTGAGCATGTGTTAGTTTTCACCGTGTAAACACTTAGGATGATGATGAGCACAAATTGCAAGGTGGTCCTGTCTGCTACAGAGCCGTCTTTCCTCTGCCGCCAGTCGGATCTCGTCTGAGGAATATAAACGAAGTCTATGTGGTTAACCAAGATGGGTGAATTGACAGACACACTGACTGTCAATGGATGCTTAGAAAAACTGATGAAAGCCTCTTTTAATGGCAGCCCAGAAATAGCCAGCCTGCGGGACAGCCTTTTAAGGACCGATGTAGCAGATGATCACGTGGTTGAAAGTGAGACATGCCGATATGTATGTTGAAGTGCCCAAACTATGCTGCCTCTCATACACTTTTCACGTGGTTTCATCTCTCTAACAGGAGCAAACAAAGCACCATTAATTAGGCTGTGTGCACTGAAGCAAAGTCAAGATAGCAAGAAATGCTTAAAACAATTTCTCTGGAAAATTTTCCTGATATTTCCACGTTTGTGACATTTACAGGTAACCTCTAGTAAAAGTACTAACTATACAAGATCACATCCCACCAGTACAAAACATGTGCCCGATTTTCTCATCTATTCTACCTGCTTCACTTTCACGTGAAAACATTCCAGACCAAAAAACGAATACAAAGCCCGAAAACAGCAGCCGTAGATATGGTGTGATAAAAAGAGAACCTTGCTTCAATAGATGAATTAACAGGTGCTCCGTCATCTTGATTAACGATGCTGAAAGCTAAAGCCACATTGAGGCCAACTAGTAGCAAGCCAACGTCAACAAATTAACAACAGCGCCATTAATTTTCAATAGGCCAATAAAAGAACATAGACTGGCCTTGTATGTCGGCCATTAGTACGTCTCTGTCTATTGAAGCCGATAGCAGCCTCTGTGAATAGAATATCTACGGGTACATCTATGTGGACTAGTCCGTCATTGGGCCACGCTTTGTTTGAATTCAACGTGTGTGTATAGAGTTACGTAAACGATTGCCTTTCGTCTCGGCGCTTTTATGTACTCTTCAATAGGAGGAGGGATGGTTCGGTTTTAGTTTAAATACACCGTGATCTGACAACGTCATGGTCGTACTGATACCCGCAGTGCTGTAGATGACACTAAAACCTGTACAAGCTACCCGTAGTTAGGTCAAACAGATGTATGAGCACCTGACTAGAGGAAGAAGTAAGGAATGTTGCTGAAAACTGTACAAACTACCCGTAGTTAGGTCAAACAGATGTATGAACACCTAACCAGAGTGAGTAGAAAGGAATGTTGCTGAAACCTGTACAAACTACAGGTAGTTCGGTCAAACAGACGTATGAACACCTACCTGACTAGAGTGAGTAGAAAGGAATGTTGCTGAAACCTGTACAAACTACACGTAGTTCGGTCAAACAGATGTATGAACACCTAACCAGAGTGAGTAGAAAGGAATGTTGCTGAAACCTGTACAAACTACACGTAGTTCGGTCAAACAGATGTATGAACACCTACCTGACTAGAGGGAGTAGAAAGGATGAGTGTAGCTGAAACCTGTACAAACTACATGTCTGTGCTGCCAAACAGATGTGATAACACCTGACTAGGGGTAGAAGGTAGTGAGTGTTGCCAAAAGACAGTCAACAAAAGTAGAAGTATCGAGGTTTCAACTTCACAGCAATCGGGTCGCCCCATATATGCTCTGTTCCTGTGCCAGCAAGTCATCATAATAAATACGCACTGAGTTCAAATGTGAGTGTAGTAGGACAAATCTAGATAATACATTATTTATATATATATATATATATATATATATATATATCTATATATATATATATATATATTATATATATATATATATATATATATATATATATATATATATAATATATATATATATATATAGGGTTAAACAAAAACAAAAAGCATGTTCTTAAACACCACAATTTGTTACAAATGGAGAGACACACGCTAATGTAGAGACAATACAGTCTGCTACACACGGAGATGGCGAATAGACAAGCTTACATGGATATCCCCAAACAGAAGAGATGTAAACCAGATCGACCATTTCATGGTAAACAGAAAATGGCGTGGGTCCTATTCGATGTGCGTGTCAAAAGGGGAGCAGATATGGGAAGCGATCATCACCTTGTAGTCGCTCTACTACGACCTAAACTCAAAAAAGTTTACACGCAAGCAAGACACAGACAGCACGTTACAATGTCAACCTTTTAAGAGAAAAAGACATTGCCACCAAATTTATAGTAGAACTCAAGAATAGATTTCAAACCCTATCAAGTGACCCAGAAACTCCAACTACAATCAGCATTCAAGACAGATGGAATCAGATCAAAGAAACATACAAATCAACTAGCAATAACATATTAGGAACCAGGAAACAGCACCACAAAGAATGGATAAGTAGTCAAACCATGGACTATATTGGCAAGCGAAAAAGAATAAAGAGCCTCATAAATCACACTAAATCAGAACGTCAGAAAGACAAACTAATGTTATAGCGAACTGAATAAAATGACAAAGAAAAGTGCCAG